CCAAAAAAGATAAACAAGCTATTTACACAAATTATCCAAAAACATTATTTGGAGTTCTCCCTACGTTGTCTAATGTAATTTAATCATTATATTAAAATTTTAATGGCTTCTTAAGATTATTTTAGGAATAAATATTTGGATTCTAAAGATGTTTTATAGATATTTTAAAAACCACATTAATTTTCTAATTAAGTTAAAATTCTAAGGCAAGCATCACAAGATTAAGGTTTTAGTATGGCATTGTTATAGATTAAATCAATATGTGAATGTCTTATATCTTATTTAACTACGATATTTTATTTGTAAAACTTACTTGTGTGAGCACGAGCAAAATACTTGTTACAATTTTTTTTTTTACCATCCCCAAGTTTAAATCATGGGTACGCCGTTGATTATATGCAAAACTTTTTTTGTTTTAACACCATGCCTATTTCTTTCTTGACACCGCTGATGACATTGATATGATTTAATTAATGCACTTTTATCCATTTTTTTAGATTAGACATAACATACATTCATTAATCTGCAAGCTGGCTTCTAGCTTTCGGCACACAACAAATTCCTCCACATGCATAGTATATCCAGGAGAAAAACATTGCAATCGAGAGAAACATATCAAACATAAAAGGGTCAATTTCGAAACTTACAAGTTGACGGCTACAGACAAAATACAAATCAAACCTTTTACTCTAATATCATATAAACATCATCGAAGAGAGGAGGAATAACTTAAAGAACACTATTTTCCTTCTTCATCAAAATGTGCTTCTCTGAGGAATGTCGAGGATTGGCCAAGAGCATGTTAGAGAAATTGCAAAGACTGCGTTGTTCAACGTATGAAAACCTGCCGGTTTAAAGAGGGGGAGTTTGCAGTGCATGCAGTTGACAGTGAAGGCGAGCTTCATCGGTTTGTTGCGAGCTTGGGATCCCTCAAACGCCCTGAATTTGTGGCAGCCGAGGAGTTTGGTTTTGAGCAGGAAGGCACGCTCATTATCCCTTGTCAACCTTGGGATCTACAGAGGATCTTGAGTGATCAAGTGTTGAACTGATCTTACGCTCATTGTCCCTTGTTAATACGCCTCTTGTGCTATAGGCAGCTAGCCACAAATTAGTAAGCTTAAAATTTTATATTTGCGCTTATACATACCTGATGTTCGAACTAAATTATCTTTGTTACTTGAAACCATCAGAGGTTTTAAGCGTCAATAAATAAATAAATATTAGGAGTAATCGGTGACTAACCCTTACTTTATGAGAATTTTATTAGTAAGTAACTGTTGCGCGCAGCGGAAATTTCGACAGCACTTCGGCAGCACAACAAGAGAGTCAGGTCGCAATAAGAATTCTTGTTTCTCAAAGGGAACAAGAATCTGAAGCCTAATATCCCATCAAAGTGGGATATTTGCTCTTCCTCTCGTCAGCTCTAGGACTACGCGTCGAGGGAACCTAAAAAGCTATTACAAATCACACAAAAGCAGTACAACCAATTTTTACGTGGTTCGGCAAATTGCCTACGTCCACGGGGCAAGGAGGGGGGAGATCTACTAATAGAGGGAGAGATTACAACTAGGGTTTATAATTACTCACAACCTAAACCCTCAAACAAACTCTCAGATTCCTCATACAAATAAACTCTCACAAAAGGATGCACAAAACCCTAAAAGCCTCTGCCTTTTTCTTTTGCACAGCCACACGAAGAGAAATCCCCAGCCGCAAAATCAATCCTTGCTCTTGCCTGCAGGTACCAGCCGAAAAAAAAATCACAGCAGAAACAAACCCTTGCGCCAACATCACACGAAACCCTAGGAAGCTATTTATAGCTTCGTCCGGTCAAATAACAGAAACAAATCTCGTTTCCGCGTCAATCACGTGGTGATGTGGCCCACCTCAAAGCCGAATCTTGTTTCCGCGTTCACAGTAACCCTATCGTAAATTAACTTACCAATTTCCAGGTTAATAGACTTAGTTTGGTTGGTCTATCTTACTATTGGTTGGTCTATCTTACTACTTTTGGGATATGGTTAAGAGAGTTGCATGTTGGCTCAAGCCTGAAGCTTGAGCTTTCACGGCTTAACTTCAATAGATAGAATTATGATTATCTTTTTGAGTGAAACAGTGATTCCTATTTTTGGAATATAAGTATTGGATGTGTTATATGGAGAACCTTTAGTCACCAACTCCAGATGTTGCAGCATGGTAGAATTGGATACATAGCGCCAACTGGACGACGGTTTAAGCCCATAAATAGCCTCAATTACTTCCATCTTTATCATGCATTCCATTTCCAATGGATGAGATAATACCACATAAGAAACCATGATAATCTAAAGATATATGGTGGTATTAGGATCATATATATATAATGATTTATGGTAATTAAACTGGAATTATTTATAAAAACTGAAGAAATTAGAAAAATAATTCCTTAATTAAACTCTTCTACTATGTGTCACATAAACAACTCCCTCTTCGATTTCCAAGTTCAGTTTCTGAAGCATACGTACTTATATTGTAACAAAATTGCTAGAAACAACAGAAAACAACTACATGCCGGTTTCATTCTTCGGGTGGTATATGATACTTCCCAATCCCAAAAGAACACTAAATAAATCTATTTCTTCCCTTTGACAATCCAAGTTATTCTTTCTATCCATTTTGAAGTAGGTTTATATACTTCATGATCCATTTCCTAGAGCGTACCACGTCAGCACGTACCCCGTATGATTACGATAAGAACTTGTCGAACCTATATTTACTGCCCAAAACCCAACAGTTGTTTGGCACCTATGTCACCGCCTAATTGGAAGGGTTTAGTGGGAGAGACTGATTATGGAAGTATTTTTTTAGTTTCTAGAAATATATATTTTTTTAGAAAATGAAAATATTTTCCTTACCAAATGAAACATTATGTACAAAACTTATACACAGGCATACCCCGGTCTCAAACAAAATCACCTCTCAATATCAGCTTCTATGCATCTCATTTATTTACATGTTCTCCATCCAAAATTTCAAATGAGGCAAGATTATAAAACTACACATTCTAATCAACCTTAATGTTCTTCACTACTTGATTCACCTCCAGCATTTGACTCTGAAATCATCTTCGATTCCTTTCACAATACACATGGTAGACTGAGGCAGCTAAACAAATATGAAACACTCTCCTCTTAACTATTCTTCCCTTAATATGTTGCTGAAACCACAAAAGCTCATCACACAATTGCAACGGAGCTCTCAAACACCCCATCCACGCTAAGATTTCCCAACATACCATAGTAGATAATAACAACCACCACCACAAAGCTTTTATCCTAAATGTTTGGGGTCGGCTACATGAATCCTATTTTTCCATTCCATTCTATTGCGGGTCATTTCCTCCATTACGTTAGTCTTAATCATATCATTCTTAATTGCTTCTGACCAAATCATTCTAGATCGACCTCTAGGTCTCCTACCCCCATTAACTCTAATATTATCACTTTTTCCTATCGGTGTACTAATGAGTCCCCTTTGTACATGACCAAACCATCTTAATCTATTCTCTCTTATTTTGTCCTCAATAGTTGCAACCTCTAATTTACTACGGATGCATTCATTTCTTATCATATCTTTTAATGTATACTTTCAAGACCATTGCCACATTCTTATTTCTGCTACACTCATTTTTTAAACATGTTATTTTTTAATTGTCCAACATTCTGACCCATAAAATATAGTTGGTCTTATAACCGTCCTATAGAATTTTTCTTTTAATTTCATTGGTATTCTACGATCACATAAAACTCTAGAAGCACTTCTCCATTTCAACCATCCTGGTTTGATTCGATGCACAACATCATCATCTATCTTACCGTCATGCCTAATGATAAATACTAAATAGCGAAAATAATTAGTTTTAAGTATTTTTTTGGCCATCAATATGTACCATAGGCTCTCTTTCTTTCCTATTTTTACTAAAATACATTCCATATATTTTATTTTTGTTCTACTAAATCTAAAACATTTAGACTCTAGAGCTTGTCTCCATCTTTCTACTTTAGCAATAATGTCTCTTCTAGTTTTATCAACTAATACTATATCATCAGAAAATAACATACACCATGAAATTTCATTCTGAATGTGCTTAGTAAGTTGGCCCATAACTAATGAAAAAAAATAAGGAGTTAAAACTGACCATTGGTGTAAACCTATAGTAATAGAAATGGTTTAATCTCTTCTTTATTAGTTCTTATTCTATTTGTTACTCTAGCATACATATATTTAATCACATCAATATATACATGTTTCTTTTCTAACATACACCACATTACCTCTCTTAGTACTCTATCATAAGTATTTTCTAGATCGATAAAAAATCATATGTAGATCCTTTCTCTTCTCTCTATATCTCTCCATCAACTGTCTCAAAATATATATAAGTTCCATAGTTGACCTCCCAGGCATAAAACCAAATTAATTTTTAGATATACATGTCACTTTTTTTAGTCTTTGCTCAATTACCCTCTCTCAAAGTTTTATACTATGTGAGTTTTATACTTTGATAATTTAAACAACTTTGTATATCCCCTTTATTCTTATATATTAGGGCAAAATAGCCAGATTGGTATATTTTTTAGAGGCTTGGTGACATGTTGGCATATTTTCTTTTAGTTTTCTCAGATTGGTATAAATTTTCGACTCCGGCACCATATAGGCCTTAAATTTGACCGGAGTTACTGTTCCGACCAGGGCTGATGGGATTTTTTTGCAAAAAACTCCCTCATCAAATACAATTTCCTGCTCCTAATCCTCCCTCCTCCTCCTCATCCTCTTCAACCTCCCCCTCTCCTCCTCCTCATCCTCTTCCTCTTCATCTTCCTAATTATTTAGTCTCCCCTCCTTATCCGTTCACCTCCATCTCCAATCATTAACCCCCCTTCCCCTCTTTCCCCTTTTCCTCATACCTAAAGTGCTAATAACACACACCAGCTAGACTTCCCAAATCTTTACAATCTCCTTCCTCTTCCATGGCTTTAGAGACATGGCTCACTCGAGTCAAGTCTGCCATCCGCTCTTCAATGACCCAAGAAACCTCATCAATGATCCTCACCAAGAGATCCTCCACCGTCGGCATCCTCGCCTTCGAGATTGCCAGCCTCATGCCCAATCTCGTCCATCTCTGGCGATCACTCTCCGACTCCCAAATTTCTCGCCTACACTATGAGACCATCGCTCTCGAAGGAGTTCGCAAGGTCGTCTCCGATGATGACACACTTCTTCTAAAGCTCACGAAGACCCTCCGCCTAATCGTCGCCTCGACGTCTAATATGAGCAAGCAATACGCCAATCAGGAGCTCTTTAGGTTCGATCAAAGGTTCAAGAGCTACGCGGACTCGAGCAAGGATCCGAATCGGTGGGCGATGAGCACCAAGGAGATGGACTTCAGAGTCAAGAAAATGGATCGATTGACAGCAGCAACAGTGGCTCTTTATAAAGAGATGAACGAATTAGCCAACTCCGAGCACAGATTGCAGAAAATGATTGTCCAGAGCAAACTGAACAAGATGACGGCGGTCACCGACGTCCAACAGAAAACCTTCTGTAAGAGACAGGAAGTCAAGTACCTGCGACAGAGCTCACTTTGGGGATCCACATTCGATGTCGTGATCTCGCTTCTATCTCGATCGATCTTCATGATTCTTGCACGAATCAAGCACGTGTTCGGCATTGACACTATGACCTCAATCCCTCTCCCTCCTCCTCCTCATCCTCATCAATACAATTTCCTTATTGGGGAGTCTGGGTATTAGGTCGTCGGAGATCCGTGCGCCGCCGGTCGACATCGGAGGGAGGAAGAGGAGGAGGGGGAGGTTGAAGAGGATGAGGAGCAGGAGGAAGAGGATGAGGAGGAGGAGGGAGAGGAGGGGTTAGGAGCAGAAAATTGTATTTGATGAGGAGTTAAAAATTTATACCAATCTGACAAAAAGTAAAAGAAAATATACTAACATGTCACCAAGCCTCTAAAAAGTATACCAATCTGACCATTTTGCCTATATATTGGTGTCAAAATACTAATCCTCCACTCATCCGGCATTCTTTTCGTCTTGATAATCTTATTAAATAGTTTAGTTAACCATCCTAAGCCTATATCTCCAAGACATTTCCAAACTTCAATAGGGATATCATCCGGTCCTACAGCTCGTCCACTTTTTATTTTTTTTAGAACATCTTTAACCTCGCTAATCTTAATTTTACGACAATATCTATAGTTCCCATCATTCACTATATGGTCAAAATCTCTATTTTGCTCACTTGTTTGATTATCATTAAACAATTGATAAAAGTAATCCCTCCACCTCTATTTTATTTCCCCGTCGATCACTAGAACTCTTGATCCTCACTTTTAGTACACCTAATATTATCCAAATCTCTACTTTTCCTTTCTCTAATCTTAGCAAGCTTAAATATATCTTTCTCTCTCTCCTTAGATTCTGACTGCTTATAAAAAATTTTATAAGCTTTGTATTTATTCTTACTAACCACTCTTTTACTTCCTTCCTTACTAGTTTATATTTTTCTAAATTTTCCCTAAGCCTACACTTTTGTCACTCTTTATATAAAGTTTTCTTCTCTCTAATAACCTTTTGCACACTCTCATTCCACCACCAACTCTCCTTACTGTCTAATATACAACCTTTAAACTCTCCTAGTATATCTTTAGCCACTTTTCTAATACAAAAAAGAAATGCTATTCCACAAAATATTAGTCTCGTTATCTATGTTCTATATATATTCTTTCATTATCTTATCTTTAAAATGTATTAAATTCTCTCCTTTTAAATTCCACTATTTAGTTCTTAGTCTTTTATTCACGTTAGTTTTTCTACTCCACTTTTAAATAGATATGTCTAAGACCATCAATCTATGTTTTGTACTTTAACTCTATCCTAGTATAACTTTACAATCATTGCATATTAACCTATCCGCCATTCTAGTAATAAAAAAAAATCTATTTAACTATTATTAAAATCACTTTTAAATGTTATTAAGTGTTCGTCTATTTTTCTAAAAAGTGTATTTGTTATTATCAAATTGGTAGGAAAAATCTGCAAGCGCACAGACTCGTTGTAGCTATCAAGGTCGATCCCCCAGAGACTAGGGTTAATTACCAAATCTCACGTTATTCGACTAGCTAAATCTAATGAGTAAATTAGAAGAGATAAAAATTAAAAGAAATAAAATAATAACCAATCAGGTGGAATTCAATATAATGAAGAGCCAGGATTGGGTTTTCACCACAACTTCGATGCTCAATGATGAATTATTTTAGTTCTCGGTGTTGGTTTAAACTAAAAAGGGTGAATTAGCCTAAATTAATCTAAAGCCTCTTTCATGGTCTAAAGATCGTGCCTAATTAATCTCAATTAACCTACTTTCGTGGAATTAAGATTAAGTTAAACCCATTAAGCTTTATGCTAATCCAAATCAAATCCCCAAGGAATCTAGCCTACTTTCGTGGTTCGAGCTCCCTGCTTTTTTTTTAGAGATCCGGTATTAATCTTCACCTTTCAGTCCTTCAATTAATTACCTATGATTGCTAATACGGTGATCAAGCGAATCAACAAAATTAAAACACTAGAAATCAAGTTCAAAGATTTAAACTTTCACCAAGAACCTATATCAATTCATCATCAATCACCAAAAAGTTGGGTTCTTTCCCAATCCTAGACAAGAAATCTACTCACACATGATTGGGATAAGAGAATACATCAAATAATTATGCAAATCAATCATAAGAAGAAATAAATCAAAGAGAGGAAATAATTAACCCGTCTTTCAATTGAGATCTTCAAAATCAAAACTTGCAATCCAATCTTGTACAAGAAATTAGTGTCTTTCTTCAATACTTGAACTCCAAAATAATTACTAATTGATGGCTAAGAGAACATAAGATAAGATATCCAAAACCCTAAGTCAAAACATCTATTTATATGTTCCTAAAAATCTGGAAAATAACTAATTTTCGTGCCACAGGTGTGGTCTGCACCACACCAGAATGTGATAGGGGCTGTTTTGCTGATTTTGTGCTTCTTTGTTTAGTTTTCGGTATTTTGGCTATAACTTTTGCGTCCGACCTCGGAATGAGGTGATTCAAGTTGCATTGGAAACCTGTTGAAGAGATATACAACTTTTATCTTTTGAGTTTTTCAGAATTCAAATTGCATCATGGTCGAAATTCCAGTTCTTCATACTTGTGCATCCATTTTCTTCACGAACCATGCCTTTGAAATCTTGTTGTTGCTTCAAACTCTTGTATAACTTCCAACGATCATTAAATCTTTCAATCTTGAGCCAATACCTACATATAAGAACACAAACCACAGCAGTATCCTCGATCTAAACACGAAATATGCATTAAACACTCGTAAATCATGCTTGAAACATACTAAGATAATGCATATTTTACGTGTTTATCAACTTCCCCAAGCTTAGACTTTTGCTTGTCCTCAAGTAAATAAACAATAAAAATTAGGAGGAGTGAACGCCAAATAGAGTAGGGATCACCCCCTCATTAATCCTTTAACCAATATCAAACATATCACAAAACAAATACTTTTCATCGGAACTTAACAAATTAATTTCCAAAACTCTCAACAAAATCACATTTCAAAATTTATTTACGATCACAAGAGTCACAAGTCAAGGATAGCCATCCTATCCAATTCTCAAGTCAAAGTATAAAAAAAAAATTCATGTAACTAGCTTCAATCCCGAAGTACTAAAATTGAGACATTCAGGTAGTTAAATTGGTAGACCTTCAATCCCGAAGTACTAAAATTGAGACATTCAGGTAGTTAAATTGGTAGACCTCACTTTAGGATAAGTGGACTCTCAATCTCTCATGTGTTTAAGGATGTGATTGTATCGCTCAAAATTCTTCCGAATGGATGTATTCAATCCATAAGCTTGCATTTCATCTCAATTCTCCACCACTTTTAAAACTAAGGTATGTAACAAAATCATGAGGTCTTTTATTTGGTTGTAATGGGGCTAAGGTCAAAAGGGTAGGATAGATATTTGAGATTGGTTGAAAGCTTATCACTAGTGGAGCTCTGATTGCAAAAGATTAGATCTCAAAGTAAGATCAATGACATCTACACAAACTCCATCATCTATTAAAGAACTTCTTCCATCTACTCCTTTTAGTATGCCATAGTAAATTCTTTCGACACCCGCAATTACACACACCATAAAGATAATACTTTATTCATCTTTTTTTTCGAATTGGTTTTTTTTTCTCTTTTTTTTGAAAGAATTATGAAAAGGAAGCAAACGCCTACTTTCACACCCCCAAGCTTACACCACATTACTCACATAACCCATTGTATCATAAAATGTGCTCCACTAGCTTAGGCAATGGGTAAGGAATAAAATCAGGTTTTGAAGGTTACATATGTGGGTTAAATCAACGAAAATTAGGCTCATAGGCTCAAGGCTAATCAAAGGGAACAATAGTGCATGGTAGGCTATTTGGCTAATGTGGACTATAAACAAAAATGTGCCTCAATCACCTTTTATGCATACAAAAGTTATGTGGCCTTGAAGAGATTCAATGCAAGTTCTAGTATCCTACACCATTGGAGAATATCACACAAGAAAAGAAAATAATGATTGGATATGTAATGCATCCAATTTCAAGCTCAAGATCTCACCGGTTTTATTTGTCTACCAAATTTAATTTCCCTCTTGTCTCAATAGAGTAATAGTTATGATGCTAGCCACATAAATGCTAAATCCTATAAGACAAGAGAACATTCAAGTTTGATTCTCCTGTATTGTTAACTTGTAATAAAAAGCCTTTGAGAATCAGTTGAAAGATGGTATAAGAAGTTGCCAAGTCCCGATTAATAAGTCTATCTAATTCAATGATCGATAAAGGTTAAGCATTCATGTCATCATCAGGAAATCATTTCCCTATTTTGGTTTTTTTTGTTTTTTTTGTTTTTTGAATTAAGAAACAAAGTAAAAGAAAAACTAAAATAAAAGAAAAATAGGCAATTATCGACAGCAATCAATGCATAAACAACCCACACCCCCAAGCTTAAGATCTACATTGTCCTCAATGTAAATAAGATAGAAATGAGTGCAAGAGTGCAGCAGATGTACCTACTCACTGGTCAGAACAGCAAATGCTCCATCGGGTATTTCTTCCTCTCCTTTGATACTTTAAGCCACTAAATTGGTTGGTCGCTCATAAGATTTATTCTGAACAGTAAGCAACTCATCGACAACATTGATATTTCCAGCAACTTCAACAGGACTATAACCTGCCAACTTCCTAGATTTGCCTTCTTACGCAATACGAGGTCAAGTCGATTAAGGAGTGCCGATAAAGATGTAACTGAGCCACCACGAATAATTCCTTCAGTAAGTATATTCACTGCCCATTGATCAACTCCAAGCAATATTCCAAGGTATTCAGCTGAAGGTTGCAGCACTTGGTGGTATAGTTTGGTTATCACGTTGGCTGCACATCTCTAAGACATGATTCCATCCCTTAATGCAGTATAATAGATCTTCATTATCATCGGTCGATAGAGCAAGATTTTTAAGAACTAGACTGATGAAATATATAATTTTCTCTGGTTTAGCATTGTTCATCTCTTCATATCCCCGCTCAATAGAAGTCCTCACCGCAGAATCAAGGGTAATATCCAAAAAAAAAAAAAAATGAGATCCTTCAGACGCTCATGGGAGTTGAGCAACAGAGGTCAAATGTTAGGTGCTGGAATTGGTACATAAGCTTGAA